ATATTTATTATGGTCTATGAGTTTATATAGTGTTTAAAGAATATTCTTATTATTCTGTGAGTTATTTATTGTAATAATAGTTATAATATTGTTCTCTCTCTATGTGTGTCTATCGGATAAATATTTGTCTATAAATATAATGTCAAACAAATAAATATAAAAAAGTTTTTTGATATTTGTTTTCATACTTTTCATCGTAAGTCTCGGATTAAGAGTTATTCGTATGTATAATACAAACACAAATAATAACTGTTATTATATTTGGGACACAAAATGTCATTATTTGTCGAGAAATTAATATTTCAATTGTCATACAATAAGTCAAATAAATTTATTTATTTATTTATTTTGGTGAAAATGTTTCCTTTTCTGCTCACTATTTATTTATTTATACTTAAATATCTTATAATATATGGTATTTCTTGAGATATAATTATTGTTTAGATATTATTGTAACAAATGATAACAAAAATAACTTTTATTTGTTGTGTAAAAACCTTTGGACATAAAGAAAGTATAAGTTTATTGTATATATAAGTCATTATTATATGAAAAGTCTATTCATTTTATACATAAAAATCTAATTTAATTGTAACATGAAAACAATGTTAAGCCATATGAGGTCCTATTGATGCGGTTTATTGAACTCGGTCAGATTTATACAATATATAAATATTAATCAATAATCTATAACTTTATAATAAATACTGTATTTTATTTTCCAAATAAATTCTGTTGTATTGTATGATAAAAACAAAAATCAAATTTATGATCAAATCTCTAACGAATTATATTTAAAAACAAATTGTATTATAATTATTATTATATAATTATATTAGAATTGTATTCCCAATTAATAATAAAAATCCTGATAAACTTGTTATAAGAATATTTTTGTTTCTTTGATTTATTTTTAAATACTATTTCTGTGGTATTTAAACAAATTAAGGTTTATATATAAGATATAAATTTAAGCTTTTTTCTATTGCTTACGAGTAAAGTATAGAAGTTTATTAAAAAAGCTTTAAATTTATATCCTACATATAAACCTGAATTTGTTTAAATACCACAGATTTGTTAAAAACAAAAATTTGTTGAGAAATAGCTATCAATTAAGTAGCGATTGATTGTTGATTGCAGTAGTAATCAGAAATGCTGAGAACCGGTAGGTTTGAGTAGTGAATATATGGTTGATATTAGCGGTGATGACAATCACTTCAATCATTAATGAGTGAAAGAAAGAGATGTCCTTCTATGGAAAGCCTATTAACAGTAAAAGTATGCTGTAAGTAATAATTATTGTTTTAAATTGTTTACAGTTTGTACATTTTTATATTCCAGTTCCACATTTTTATATATAAATACTTAATCTGCAAATATTCGATATTTATTTGGCACAAAAATGTTCAATTATTAGAGTATGTAGTGTTTATGTGGAAATAAATGATTATTTAACAAATTAAAGGTTACTTAAATCTATTGCTAATAAATATCTGTTTCCAATGGTTTCTAAATGTGATAATTATTGTTATCAAAAGCTTTTGTAAGTCACTACACATTCAGAAATAGTTTATTTTTAGCCTCAATTAAATAAATTGAAATTTTATTCAAATTAATTAACATTAAAATAAGCATTGTTAATAGTATTTATAAGTAAAATATATTTTATAATCTAAATCTGTACTAATTTAAGTATTTAATATTAATAAATTTATAAATGAATTCATACCTAATTATTATATATGACCCGTTTATTAAATAGTAATGTTTTATATGAATGAGTGGATAGTTATCACATATTTTCAATAACAACACCCTTTCATATCTCATATCATGACTTCACAATGTGTTCTAATTTTGATTGAAAATAATTAAAAGTTATATTTGATTCTGTTTTTAAAAAATTAATCATAAAGTCTTATTATTTTTTTATTTTAATAAATTTTGTTTTTAATAATTGTACTCAAAATGTGCGAACTTTTGAATAAGTTTCGCATTTGCGATACGATTGACGCGAATATTAAACATGAAATTAAATTATTTCATGTTTTCAATGGAAATATACTATTTGTAACAACTATTGACTCAGTTTATTGTATGGGAAGTAATACTAGTGGTTGTCTGGGTTTGGGTCACAACAATGAAGTGAAAACACTACAAATTATACCACAATTAAGTAACAAAAAGATACAACAGTTTATTAATGGATATGACTTTGTGTTGGCCATCAATGACATGAATCACGTGTTCAGTTGGGGTCACAATGATTGCGGACAATTGGGTAGACATACAAAAAGACTACTATTTTTAAAGACAGAATATGGAAATCATAAAAACATATCGGAATTGAATGACAAGAATATCACACAAATATGTTGTGGTTATCAACACTCCCTGGCCCTCAACACCAATGGACGGGTGTATGCGTGGGGTTGGAATAAATGGGGACAAATTGGAAATAATACAGATATTTCAGCATGGACACCAGTATTGTTAGAATTTGCAAATAATTATAAAATCAAAAATGTTTTCTGCTTTAATTGTAAATCATTTGCTATTACTGTCGATGGTTTGGTATTCAGTTGGGGTAGGAATAAGTATGGTGAATTAGGGTATAGATTAGGTAAAACATCATGGTCACCCAAATTAATCCCAAGTCTTTATGATATCCAATCAATCAGTTCAACGCATTATGAAAACAACAGACTTACATGTTTTCTAACAAATAATAATATAATATATATTTGTGGCACATATGAGGATGGTATGAAACAATTTCAAACAATATATACCCCGATACGACTTTCATTGAACTTGAATATTCAACAATTTAATGAGCTTCACTCATTTTATTATCATTGTCGATTATTATTAAAGGCTGGTAATATTATTTGTGAAATAATCTCACCAGGTGAAGTTAAACAATATTCATACACTAATTTTGTTGATTATTACGCCAATGAACAACACATAAGTTACAATACATTGAATGCAAACCCAAAAGCTGTTACCAATTGCGATAACAATGAATTGCATTTACATAACAAGTTCGCCACCGAATCGGTCGGGAAACTGGACGGAAATTGTTGCCATCGATGCGGAACTCGTTTCGCATGGTTTCACCGCAAACATCGGTGCCATCATTGCGGACAACTATTCTGCGACAAGTGTTGGGCTAAGGGGTCAACGAATCCGAAGTACGGCCTCGAGAAATGGTTTTGCGACGAGTGTTACGATATGTTGAGTACAGCGGCGAAACCCGCGGACCAAATCCCTATCGAAGGGTTGTCCATATCGTCGGCCCAGTCGTCAACATATAGTGGACTCAATCGGAAAGGGTCTGAGAATAAGAGATTGGAATTAGCTTTGAGTCAATTGGAAGTGGAGTCTAAAGATTGCATGAAAATGAGCCGTATATCCAATATAATGGATAAGACATCCAATGGTAATACTTAAGAACTGAATGTTTCTGTCTTTTTTAAGTCTTAAGTCGTGTACTTACTTATGAATGTAGCAAGGTATATTAAAATTGTTAGTCATTTTTATCACTAATCTGCTGTAAAATAGTTTTTGATAAAAATATTCATCAAGTAATTTGAAAAAAATACAGATTAAATATGATTCAAATTAAGTTTTAGTAATGCATTTATTGAAACTAAGATTTATTTATTGAATTTATTTTTAATTTGAGTCATATTTGTGTTAATCAAATGTATTTTGTGTGAATGTTTTAAAAATATTCATTTAATTTTTATATACAGTATATTTTCCAAATTAATCGATGATAATATTTTCATCAAAAATTATTTTACAAGAGATTAGTGATAAAAATGACTAACAATTTTAAATATACCTTGCTACATTCATAAGTACGTACACGACTTAATAGACTTTAAAAAGACAAAAACATTCAGTTCTTAGTAATACTACATAGATTTAGCATAAATATAATTTGTGTAACATTTTCCAATTTATTACATATTTATGAAAATAGTTTCATCAGAATTAGGAAATAATTCGTTTGAAAACAATTATATTAACCTTTTTGAGGAGTTGTCTACAATAGGATCGGGAGCATTTGGTAAAGTATATAAAGTAAAGCATAGATTCGATGAACACATATATGCCGTCAAAAGAATTCTATTGAATGGTAAATACAATATAAATATTAAATTACATAAAGTTAAATATTTTCAAATATATTTCAGATTCTTGCGATAACTACATGAAACGTATTTTGAATGAAGTGAAAAATTTAGGAAAAGTGCGGTCAGAATATTGTGTTCACTATTATAATTCATGGCCCGAAAGCAAACACCTCTACATTCAGATGGAGTTCTGTTCACAGAATTTACGGAATATTCTCGAAATGAAACCAAAAGTATTTGACAGAAAAATAGGAAAAGCCATGGATTGTGTCGAGTATTTCATTTCGTGTGAAATATTCCGTCAGATCTTAGAAAGTGTTCAGTATTTGCATGAATTGAANAAATAGGAAAAGCCATGGATTGTGTCGAGTATTTCATTTCGTGTGAAATATTCCGTCAGATCTTAGAAAGTGTTCAGTATTTGCATGAATTGAATCCACAGATCATTCACAGAGACCTCAAACCCGAAAACACATTAATTGCACACAACGTAAGGAACGGTAGATTTGTTAAGTTATGTGACTTTGGTTTGGCTACAGTTCACGAGAATACTATGAATTATAATACTTATGATAAACACACTACTGGAGTGGGAACTACGAAGTACCAAGCACCTGAAATAGCTCAGGGTAAAGCATATGGACATAAAGTAGACATTTATAGCTTGGCAATTATTGGCTCAGAACTAATAGATTTTGATTTGTTTTATTTTGACCCTGATAAGTATGTAATAAATGTAGGTGTGTATTTTAGTTTATTAATGTTTTTGGTTTTCCAAATATAGTTCAGAAAGCATTTACTCCGGGAATGAAATTCTTAACACAAAAGTAAAAGAATTTCAAAACATATTGCAGTCAATGATGTTGACTCCGAAGTGGTCTCAAAGGCCTGAATGCAGTGAAGTATTGGCGGAATATAACGAGTGGTCTATCGATAGGAATATTCTCGCAAATGATCCCCGATTTGAGTCCACATTAAGTAGATTTCAATCAAATGATAACTCATTTTTCTATCAATTCTTATCGTATTCTTTGCAACAAAACCCGATAGAGATAACATCAAAACAAATGTATAAAAATTATCTAGGACAATTATTTATTTATCTACTCATTGCTATTATATATTATATGATCATAGAATTATCATGTATATTTTACAAAATGTTTTAACAAAAACTAAATTAGTTTTTAAAATTAATTAAATAAATTACTAGTTATTAGAAAATACTCTAATATGACAATAATGTATAAGCAAACAACATATTAGGTTTTAAAATTTTAAATTTAATGTAAACACAATTAAAAATAATTATTAAATGAATTAAATTTATTGACCAAACATTACATAAACTTTTTAAAATCATAACTAGTAATGTATATTACATTAGATGTATGGGAACTGTATGCCAATCGCTCACAACCTCTGAGCAAACATCAAGACCCCAAAACATACATAAACCTTAATGTCATGGACAGGTAGCTCAATGAAGTCCCATAGAGTCCGCATGCGGGGTATAAACTACTTAACGGTCGACGGGAACGCCTCCAGAGTGTCGGTGCTCTCAATCTGTAGTATTTTGTGCTTATGGACTGTTGTTAAGATAATATAATCATTGAATCCAATGGTTTTTGCAATTGTGATAATTACTGCAATCAAAATGTTATATAAAGGTATTAAAAACAGTAATATATTTTGTATTTCATGATATGTTTCTATGGATGAGTGGATAGTTATCACATATTTTCAATGACAACACAATTTCATATCACTATCCATTTGGACTTCATTTTTTGTTTTGTTTGAAAATAATTTACAGAAAAATTTTGTTTTATTTTAAAAATTTATATTTTTCCATTAAAAAATTTTGTATTTTTATAATTGTGCTCAAAATGTGTGAAATTAATAAGTTTCGCATTTGCGATACGATTGACGAGAATATTAAACACGAAATTAAATTATTTCATGTTTTCAATGAAAATATACTATTTGTGACAAACAATGACTCAGTTTATTGTATGGGTTATAATCAAAGGGGTTGTCTGGGTTTGGGTCACGACATTGAAGTGAAAACACCACAAATTATACCACAATTATGTAATCAAAGGATACAACAGTTTATTAATGGAAATGACTTTGTGCTGGCTATCAATGATTTGAATCACGTGTTCAGTGGGGGTCACAATGATTGGGGACAATTGGGTAGACGTACGAAAAGATTATTGTTTTTCGGTACAGATTATGGAAATTATGAAAACATATCGCAATTGAATGACAAGAATATCACACAAATAAGTTGCGGTAGTTTTCACTCCCTGGTCCTCACCACCAATGGACAGGTGTATGCGTGGGGTAATAATGATGAGGAACAAATTGGTAACAATAATACATATCTTTCAGCATGGACACCAGTATTATTAGAATTTGTAAACAACTTAAGTCATCCAAAGTATTACGAAAACAATTATAAAATCAAAAGTATTTTCTGTTTTAGTGATAAATCGTTTGCCATTACTGTCGAGGGTTTGGTATTCAGTTGGGGTGATAACGATCATGGTGAATTGGGGTACAAAACAAAAGACAGATCACCCAAATTGATACCAAATCTTAATGATATCCAATCAATCAGTTCATCACATAATAAGTACAACAGGTTTACGTGTTTTCTATCGAATAATAATATAATATACATTTGCGGCCAATATATGAGTGATATAAAGAAAAAACAAATAATAAGTACCCCGATGCAAATTCAATTGAACTTAAATGTAAAACAACTTAATGACCTTCATTCATATTATCATAATTGCCGAGTAATAATAAAAAGTGATGATAAAATTTGTGAAATAATCTCCCCAGGTGAAGTTAAACAATATTCATACGATAATTTTATTGATTATTACGCAAATGAGCAACAAATAAGTTATAATACATTGAACGCCATATATTCTGATGGTACAAATAGTTCAACAATTATTTCACACTATTTAATATGTAATTGTGTTTATAGTATCAAAAGTGGGAAACAAATTGTTTGAAAGCCATTACCAAAACTTATTCCAAGAGTTATCGGCCATCGGTTCCGGAGGTTTTGGGACAGTATTTAAGGTAAAGCGTAGATTCGACGAACACATATATGCCGTTAAAATAATAAAATTAAAGGGTAATTACAAAATAAAAATAAAATTTTGAATTTATTGATATTTCTGTAATATATTTCAGACTTTTCTGATGAATATATGAAATCTATTTTGAAAGAAGTTAAAAATTTGCTGTCCGTTCGTTCAGAATATTGTGTTCAGTATTACAATTCATGGCCCGAAAGCAAACACCTCTACATTCAGATGGAGTTTTGTTCACAGAATTTAAGGAATATTCTCGAAATCAAACCAAAAGTATTTGATAGACAATTAGGAGACGCCATGAATTGTGTCGAGTATTACATTTCGTGTGAAATATTCCGTCAGATCTTAGAAAGTGTTCAGTATTTGCATGAATTGAATCCACAGATCATTCACAGAGACCTCAAACCCGATAATATATTAATTACTGACAATGTAAGGAACGGTAGATTTGTTAAGTTATGTGACTTTGGTTTGGCTGTCGAACACCGATCGGAATATCAGAGTCACTCCAACAATAAGGGAACTCCTAAATACATGGCACCGGAATTGTATCAATCAAAGTATACCACAAAAGCAGACATTTATAGTTTGGGTATTATTTCTATGGAATTGTTTGGTATTTATTTAGTGTATGTATAATATTAATCTATTATTTTGTCTAAATATTTAACATATTTATATCAAGGTATATTTAATTATAGTATTAATTTTTCAGGGGAAATGAACTGGCTAAATACGATAACAGTTTATTTCATTGCAATTTATCAAACCTTTTACAGATATTTAATTCAATGGTTTCATTTGGACCTGATATTAGACCAGGGTGCAGTGAGATATTAAATATGTGTGATAAATGGTCATTGAAGATAACAGTTTATTTCATTGCAATTTATCAAACCTTTTACAGATATTTAATTCAATGGTTTCATTTGGACCTGATATTAGACCAGGGTGCAGTGAGATATTAAATATGTGTGATAAATGGTCATTGAACAAGGACATTATACAAGCGAATAACATTGCATTTACTCTATTTTTGAATCGACCCACATTAGTTGATTGCCCAGTATTTAATGAAATTATGAAAATTACATTAACAATATAATCTTATATTAAAGTTTTGAATTAATACTATTAATAAATAATTTCATTTTGTGATTATTATAATGTCAATTTATAATCAATTTTAGATTGTTAATCATAATCATAATAATAAAATAATCTAATTGTTATTTATTAAAATAAATAAAGTAAACATTATTTGTTATAAATTAGTTATAGGATTCTGGATATGCTATGAGCTAATTCAAATAAAAAATATTTTATTATGTTAAAAAATGATAGCAATAGGGTAATATTAAATCATGTGTTTCAATTTACAATGGGAGTTTGTCATCACCACTGGAAATATTGTATTTAATTTGTATTAATTTTGACGGAAAGCATATAAACATAAATATGACTTATGATAAATACACTACAGGTGTGGGTACAACTAAGTAATACACCTAATTTTCTATGACAACATCTTTCATAACACAATTAAATAGCACTTCATATTGGGTTTGATTAGTATTAACAATAATTGTCATCAATTTAATTTGAGTGATTCATTGAATTTAGTTTTATTTTAATTTGTCTAAATATACGCTCAATTCTTGGTATTTTTACCCTTTTTTGGTATAATTGATTCAAATAATGTGCATAAAATAAACACGAAATTAAATTATTTTATGTTTTCAATGATAGAAATAATAAAAGTAATATAATATTTGTCACAAATAATGACTCGGTTTATGGTTTGGGTGGCAATGCCAGCGGGTGTCTGGGTTTGGGCCATAATAATGAAGTGAAAACACCACAAATTATACCACAATTATGTAATCAAAGGATACATCGATTTATCAATGGATGGGATTTTGTGTTGGCTATCAATCATACTAATCAAGTGTTTGGTTGGGGCGGTAATTATTGGGGACAATCGGGTAGACATGAGACCCAAAGTGAAGTTTGTTTTAAACCACAAGTTATATCACAATTGAATGATATAATTATAACACATGTATGTTGTGGTGATCAGCACAGTATGGCGCTAACCACCGATGGACAGGTGTACGGTTGGGGCCGTAATAGTTACGGACAAATTGGCAATAATACTAAATGTGCGCAAATATGGGCACCAATTGAGTTACGCTTTGATAATAAACATAAAATCAAAAGTATTTTCTGTTTTACTTATATTTCATTTGCTATTACTGTCGACGGTTTGGTATACAGTTGGGGTGATAATTGTAAATATCAAATTGGGCATAAGCATTCAGGTTATATTTTGTCACCCAAACTGATCCCGGATTTAAATGGTATCACCTCGATCAGTTCGTCACACACATGGGACTATCATTTTACGTGTTTTCTATCATATCTTGATATAATATATTTTTGTGGTCATTATTATGATAACAGTGAACAAACACCAGTAAAAACAACCCCTGTACAAGTTAAGCAATGTCTAGATATACAACAACTTAACCAGGTGCACTCACATTTTGATAATGAGCAAATAATATTACAAATTGATAATATGATCTGGGGAATTAAATCACCAAATGAAATGCTTAAATATAGTTATAATAATTTTATTGATTTTTATGCCACTGAATATCAAATAACATATAATACATTAAATATATCTACAAATACAAATTTAAGCAAAACAAAAACTGTATCAAATCAACCAGTATATGTTATTTCAATTGATACACCTATGGATAATGAAAGTATAATTTATTAATTATTTTTATAATCTATTAAATTTATAACCAATTTGTTTGCTTTAATTGATTTCAAAGCCAACATTAAGTCGGTTGAGGATAACATAGGCTTAATAAAAGCCGAGGTCTACAAAGTCCCAGAGTCCGAGGAAAGGGAGCTTTCGGTTAATTTAACGGATAATATAACTGCCGGTTAACACTAATTATTACTAATTATATATTTGTTTGTAATAAATTAGTTATATTTCTCAATTTAACAATAGTGTCATCAAAATTAGAAAATTATACGTTTAATAGTCATTACGAAAGTCTGTTCATTGAATTGTCGGCAATAGGATCGGGAGGTTTTGGGACTGTTTTTAAAGTAAAGCATAGATTCGATGAACACATATATGCCGTTAAAAGAATTGAATTTAAAAGTAAGTATAAAATAGTTGTAATAATTTTATTAAAATATTAGTGATTATCATTACATATAACAGAATCTAGCGATGAATATATGAAAGGAATTTTGATGGAAGTGAAGAAATTAAGAAAACTTAATCCAGATTTTGTCGTCCAATATATCACTTCATGGCCTGAAAATAAACATCTCTTCATTCAGATGGAGTTCTGTTCACAGAATTTGCGGAATATTCTCGACATTAAACCAAAAGTATTTAACAGACAGTCAGGAGTTCCCATGGATTGTGTCGAGTATTACATTTCGTGTGTAATATTCCGTCAGATCTTAGAAAGTGTTCAGTATTTGCATGAATTGAATCCACAGATCATTCACAGAGACCTCAAACCCGAAAACATATTAATAGCTGAAAATATAAGGAACGGAGTATATGCATGAATTGAATCCACAGATCATTCACAGAGACCTCAAACCCGAAAACATATTAATAGCTGAAAATATAAGGAACGGTAGATTTGTTAAGTTATGTGACTTTGGTTTGGCTGTTGAGCACCGATCGGAATACCAGAGTCACTCCAAAAATAAGGGAACTCCTAAATACATGGCACCGGAATTGTATCAATCAAAGTATACCACAAAAGCAGACATTTATAGTTTGGGTATTATTTCTATGGAATTGTTTGATATATTCTTGGAGTATGTATTCAATTGTACAGTATTTTAATTTTATTTATTAAATATTTTCATTTATTATATTTACCTCAGTGGCAGTGAACTGGATAAGTACATTGACAACTTACTACATGGTTATGTAGCCAATATATTACCCATGTTCAATACAATGGTTTCATTTGGTCCTATCATTAGACCAAGGTGCAATGAGATATTAAATATGAGTGATAAATGGTCACTTAGCAAGGACATTATACATTCAAATATTAGTGTATTTACACAATTTATAAATCAACACCAATTAGACGATTACATTGTGTTCAATGAAATGATAGAAATATGTGTAAAAATGTTCAAAAGTTAATCAGTGATTAATTTATAACTAATCCCATAAAATATACAATACTTAACCTAGATGGTTATTTATAATCATGTACACTTTTTGTACTAATTTAACTGTAAGATTTGTACAATGCACAAATTAATGACTAATTAAGCGTGTAGATTACTAGTGGTTATTGTAAAGAACCTAATAGTAAATTATTAATAACCTTGCTAGAAACAAATCTGGTTTATTACATGAATTGAAAACATTAAACAGCCGGGTGTACTCTAATATGTATAGATATTATAAATTAAAAACCATAAAATGTATAAAATGTTTAATCAATTTACTCCTAAAAACAGTACAGAAATACTGCAAAAATAAATCTATCATTACTACAATCAAAGTGTTAAAACACTAACAACTCATTGAAAACAACTATAATAACAACCAAAACCAACACGATTAATGAAAAATGTTTATAAGGAATTGTAGTTGAAATACAACATTAAAACAATAATCAATTGCACCGCCCTTTCTGGGGATATACACGTAAATAAAAAATTTCATGTTTTAATTTTAAAGGCTATTCAAATCCATTGTTAAGATTACAAAATACAAATCAGAAAAGTATTAATAAATCACTTCAATCACTGAGGAATCAAATAAAAGACATATCATTAGAAAACACATGAAATGAGGTTTAAAATGATGTATCAATCGATAGATTTTGTTTTAACCGTAAGAAGTAATTGTATGATAAGTAAAATGAGTGTAAATTTTTAAGCGATATACTGTAAAATGTAGTGTTTATTAGAAATAAATAATTATTTTAAATAAATAAAAGTCACGAAAAACTATTGTAAATAAATATCTTGGTTTCCAAGGTTTCTAAATGTGATAATTATTGTTATCAAAAGCTATTGTAATTCACTATACATTCAGAAATACAGTGTATATTATTTTGAGCCCTAAATTAAACAAATAGAGTTGTATTCAAATTAATATTTAAATAAGCATGGTGAATAGAATTTATTAATTAAATATAAAGTATTTTAAAATCATTACTAATTTAAGAATTTATCATAAATTATATTATAATTAAATTCAAATCCAATATATATGACCCGTTATTAAGTAGTAATGTTTTATATGAATGAGTGGATAGTTTTCACATATTTTTTAATGACAACACCTTTCATATCACTATTAATTTGGACTTCATTTTAGGTTTTGTTAGAAACTAATTAACAGTAAATTGTGTTTTATTTAAAAAACTTTAATTTATATTATAATTTTTTATTTTTTAATAATTTTACTCAAAATGTCTGTATATTTGAATAAGTTTCGCATTTGCAATACGATTGACACGAGTATTAAACGAGATATTAAACTATTTCATGTTTTCAAAGATGATATGAATCTGGAAAATATTATATTTGTGACAAACAATGACTCAGTTTATTGTATGGGAAGTAATACTAGTGGTTGTCTGGGTTTGGGTCACAACAATGAAGTGAAAACACCACAAATTATACCACAATTATGTCATCAAAGGATACAACAGTTTATGAATGGAAATGACTTTGTGTTGGCTATCAATGACATGAAGCATGTGTTCAGTGGGGGTAACAATAGTGAGGGACAGTTGGGTAGACGTACGAAAAGGTTAGGGATTTTTGACAAAGAATTTGGAAAACATAAAAACATATCGAAATTGAATGACAAGAATATGACACAAATATGTTGTGGATGTCATCACTCCCTGGCCCTCACCACCAATGGACAGGTGTACGGGTGGGGCAATAATTTGTTTGGACAAATTGGGAATAATACAAATATATCACCATGGACACTTGTATTGATAGAATTTGCAAACAATTATAAAATCAAAAGTATTTTCTGTTTCGGTTATAAATCATTTGCCATTACTGTCGAGGGTTTGGTATTCAGTTGGGGTCAGAATTGGTTCAGTGAATTGGGGTATACATCATATGGCTATACATTGTCACCCAAATTGATCCCAAATCTTAGTGATATCGTATCAATCAGCTCAACATTGAATGCAAACAATATGTTTACGTGTTTTCTATCCAATAATAATATGATATATATTTGTGGCACATATATGAATGGTACGAAACAATTACAAACAATAAGTACCCCGATACAAATTTCATTGAACTTAAATGTCATACAATTTAATGAACATCGCTCATATTATTACCCTAGGCGATTAATAATAAAGGCTGATGATAATATATGTGAAATTATATCACCAGGTGAAGTTACACAATATTCATACAATAATTTTGTTGATTATTACGCCAATGAATACAACATAAGTTACAACACATTAAACACCAATTCTTATGATACAAACAGCGATTAAATTACACATCAAATCAAAACACAAATTCAAACCATAATAACCATTCAATTGAAGAAATAGTTATTTAATGCTCTAATGTTTTAAAAATCTAATTTAATTGTAATATGAAAACAATGATAAGCCATTTGAGGTTTATTGAACTCGGTCAGATTTATATAATATATAAATATTAATCAATAATCTATTACTTTATAATAAATACTGTATTTTATTTTCCAAATAAATTCTGTTGTATTGTATGACAAAAACAAAAATCAAATTTATGATCAAATCTCTAACGAATTATATTTAAAATAACAAATTGTATTATAATTGTTAATTGTTATATATAAATACTAGAATTGTATTCCCAATTAATAATAAAAATCCTGATATACTTGTTATAAGAATATTCTTGATTCTGTGATTTATTTTCATATATTGTTTGATTAAGACTTAGAAATTGTTAAATAATTTCTATCAATTATGTAGCAATTGATTGTTAATAGTATTGGTAATCAGAAATTGTGAGCTTCAATCAGGGTCTATGCACCGGTAGGTTGAGTATAAAATATTATATATGGTTAATATTAACAGTGATGACAATCACTTCAATCATTAATGAGTGAGAGATAGTGATGTGTTTCTATGGAAAGTCTCTTTACGATATAAGTATGTCTCGTCTATTATGGTATATCAGTATAAATTCAGCCGGCACAAAATATTTTTATAAAATACAACCAGTATGAATATAATACAATAGAAATTCTATAGTAAATACAGTACTTATTGATACTCTAGTTTCCCTTTTATAAATTTATAAACTGTTTTTTGTGTGAACATGCGATATTGCGATTAAAATGTAGTGTTTATTAGATATAACACATTATTTAACAAATAAAAGGTCACATAAAATCTATTGTCAATAAATAACTTTGTATCCAATGGTTTCAAAATGAGATAATTAGTTTTATCAAAAGATATTGTAATTCACTATACATTCACAAATATATTATTTTGAGCACCTACATTAAATAAAAAAGAGTTTTATTCAAATTTCATTTAATTAATTTTATTTTAGTTTAGATTTTTATTAAGATATATTTTTAAAATCATATCAGTTATAATCTATGTGTTTAACATTAATTTTATTATAATTAAATTCAAATCCAATATATGACCCGTTATTAAATAGTAATGTTTGATATGAATGAGTGGATAGTTATCACATATTTTCAATGACAACACCCTTTCATATCTCATATCATGACTTCACAATGTGTTCTAATTTTGATTGAAAATAATTGTTATATTTTATTTTGTTTTAAAAATATTAATCATAGTTATATTTTTTTGTTATTTTAATAAATTTTGATCTTAATAATTGTGCTCAAAATGTGCGGACTTTTGAATAAGTTTCGTATTTGCGATACGATTGACACAAATATCAAGAATGAAATCAAATTATTTCATGTTTTCAATGACAGGAGGAATGAGAAAAATATTCTGTTTGTCACAAACAATGACACCCTGTATGGTATGGGCGGTAATAATAAGGGTTGTCTGGGTTTTGGTCACAACACTGAAGTGAAAACACCACAAATTATACCACAATTATGTAATCAAAGGATACAACGATTTATCAATGGATATGACTTTGTGTTGGCCATCAATGACATGAATCACGTGTGCAGTTGGGGTCACAATGATTGCGGACAATTGGGTAGAGATTGGGGACCTAAAGATCATTATTCACAACCCGAAGAAATATCATATTTGAACAATAAGTATATCAAACATATTTGCTGTGGTTTTCAACAATCCCTTGCCCTCACCGCCGGTGGACAGGTTTATGTGTGGGGCGAAAATAATTTGGGACAGATTGCCAATTATGATAGACATTCTATATATCCAAGACCTAGGTCTAATTTGAGCTTGTTGAAATTTGAAAATAACTCAAAAATCACAAATATTTTTTGCTCGTCATTCAATTCGTTTGCAATTACTTCCGAGGGTTTGGTATTCAGTTGGGGTCTCAATAGGAATCATCAATCAGGACATCACTCTCCAGATTATATATTGTCACCCAAACTGATCCCTGATTTACATGATATCAAAGCTATCAGTTCATCAAACTTCCATGATAATTATTTTACATGTTTTCTGTCAAATACTAATTTATTATACATTTGTGGTCAGTATATGGATGATAAGAAACAAGTACAAATACAAAAGATTCCGATACAAATAATTACATTTAAAGTGAATGCTAAAATGATTACAGGATTATATTCGTAGTTTCCAAAGGACCAGGTTATAATACAATCTGGTAGTAAAATATGTGGCATAATATCACCCCATGAAGTGAAAAAATATAATTATAATAATTTTGTTGATTATTACGCAAATGAACATCAAATAAGTTACAATACATTAGACGTAAACCAAAAGGTTGTGACAAATTCTGGTGAAACAAAACCAAAATTAAGAAAACGATTAAATCCTGTTTCACTTGAAAATATAAATTTAAATGAAGGTATAATTGTGTTATTAATGTTATTTTATAAGTACAGTATTATATTTAATAATTTTTAACGTTTTAAATATTTCGTCGAATTTAGGAAACAATTGTTTAGAAAATAATTACAAAAGTCTATTCATTGAGTTATCGGCGATAGGATCAGGAGGTTTTGGAACTGTTTTTAAAGTAAAGCATAGATTCGATGAACACGTATATGCCGTCAAAAAAGTCGAGTTTCGAGGACGAGGTGTTGAAACTGATTCAGGTGTGGGCACGCAAAAGTACCAAGCACCAGAAATAGTCCAAGGTCTTAAATATGGTCATAAAGTAGACATTTACAGCCTTGGATTAATTGGTGCTGAAATATTTGATTTGGATTTATTTTATACAGACTCTGAAATGTATGCAATTTATTATATATCAGTATTTATTGTGTTTCCATTAAATTACTTAAAATCTCTAACATTAGTGTCGAAAGGCTTTACTCGGGGAATGAAATCCTGAAAACAAAAATCATTAAGTTGTTAGAAATATTGCAGTCAATGATGTCGACCCCTGTACTGAAACTAAGGCCTGACTGCTCACATGTATTGAATAAATTCTGTGCTTTTGAACAGAATATTCCGGACGACAATAACATGGATACACTTCCAACCAAACAAAAGCATACTGATCAGTTTTTCATTAAATATTTTAAATATAAATTTAAATTATCGAGGTAAAAATTTTTATATTATTTATTGATATAAAATAGTTCAGCAACTTTATTTATTTATTTAATTCTTATTGTTTTATAATAATTGTTAAAGATAATTTACCTTGTTTCCAATGGTTTCATAATTGCTATCAATATTGTCATCAAATACAATTGTAGTTCACTATATATTAATTTGAGCCAAAAATTAAACAAATAAATGATATAATGTTTTCTGATTTTATCTGTAAAATAAAATTAATGAATTCAAACTTTGCACTCAAATTAAATCTCTGACAGTAATTAAGTTGTAAATATTTATGTCACTGTGAGCTACAGTTTATCGCATATTTTCATTGTCATCACCATTCATATGATGAATAAGAAAATATTATATGTTTTATATTAGACACATATAAAACATACAATAATTACTTATGTGAGCAATAGTTAATGCTAACTTTAATGTATCATTTAATGAATTAATTTTTATTTAAATATTTTAAGTAATATAATATATATATTTGTATAATCAAATATAAATAATATATATTTGTTGAAAATGTCTATACCTTTGGAAAAGTTTCGCATTTGCGATACGATCGACACGAGTATTAAACAAGAAATTAAATTATTTCATGTATTTAATGGCAGTAATAGTAAGAAGAATATCATATTTATCACAAACAATGACTCGGCATATGGTTTGGGTGGCAATGCCAGCGGGTGTCTGGGTTTGGGTCATAATGATGAAGTGAAAACACCACAAATTATTACTGAATTATGTCGCAAACGGATCCAAAAGATTATAAATGGAAATACATTTGTGTTGGCTATCAATAACAGGAATCATGTGTTCAGTTGGGGACACAATAATCGGGGACAATTGGGTCGAGAAATGACAGAATTTGGCGATTATTTAAAACCGCGAAACATATCGTATATGAACGACAAGAATATACAGCATATATACTGCGGTACTCAACACAGTCTGGCGCTCACCACCGATGGACAGGTGTATGGGTGGGGCGATAATAGGTGGGGACAAATTGGCCAGGGTCATAAAAGTGACGGCAGATGGTCACCAGTGTTGTTAAAATTTGCAAATAACTATAAAATCCAAAGTATTTTCTGTTTTTACGTGAATTCATTCGCTGTTACCGCTGATGGTTTGGTATTCAGTTGGGGCTTCAGTGATGTCCACCAATTAGGACACAATACTGCATACGATATATTGTCACCCAAACTGATCCCACATTTGCGTGATATCATAGCGATAAGTACCACGTATTCCGATGACAATTGTTTCACGTGTTTTCTATCAAATAGTAATATAATATATATTTGTGGCCAATATATGGATGATATGAAACAAAAACATTTACTTAAAACCCCGATACAAATTGAACTAGACTTAAATGTGCGACAATTAAATGATTATTTTTCATTTATGTATACTAACCAGGTGATAGTAAAATGTGACAATGATATCATTTGCGGAATTGTGTCCCCGTATAAAGTGGCACATTATCAATATAACAATTTCACTGATTTCTACGCCAATGAATGGCAATTAAGTTATAATACATTATACATGACTACAAATGTTAGCACTGATTCGGGTGAAACAAAACCGGGATTACACCTAAAGTCTAATCAATCATTAAATGCTATTTCAAATGGAAATTACAACATCCTAGAGCCCGAGGAAAGGGAGCTTTCGGCTAATTTAGCGGATAATTTAACTGCCGGTTAACACTAATTATTACTAATTATATATTTGTTTGTAATAAATTAGTTATATTTCTAAATTTAACAATAGTGTCATCAAAATTAGAAAATTATACGTTTAATAGTCATTACGAAAGTCTGTTCATTGAATTGTCGGCAATAGGATCGGGAGGTTTTGGGACTGTTTTTAAAGTAAAGCATAGATTCGATGAACAGATATATGCCGTAAAAAGGATTGAGTTTAAAAGTAAGTATAAATTAGTTATAATAATTTTATTAAAATATTAGTGATTAATAAAACAACTTTTTGTAGGGCAACAATAGTGAACTCACTCACAATTAACACTCAAATCAATACTCAACGTTAGCGTTAACTGTATTAAGATAGTTAATTGTGAGTGAATTAACTATAGTTGCCCTACAAAAAAAGTTGCTTTAGTAATTATCATTACATACAACAGAATCTACCGATGAATATATGAAAGGAATTTTGATGGAAGTGAAGAATTTAAGAAAACTTAATCCGGATTTTGTGGTCCAATATATCACTTCATGGCCTGAAAGCAAACACCTCTACATTCAGATGGAGTTCTGTTCACAGAATTTGCGGAATATTCTCGATATTAAACCAAAAGTATTTGACAGAGAATTTGGAGAAGCGATGAGTTCTTATGAGTACTTCATTTCATGTGAAATATTCCGTCAGATCTTAGAAAGTGTTCAGTATTTGCATGAATTGAATCCACAGATTATTCACAGAGACCTCAAACCCGACAATATATTGATTGACGGGAACGGAAGGAACGGTAGATTTGTCAAGTTATGTGACTTTGGTTTGGCTACAGATCACGACAAAAATATTAATTATAAAACCTACAAAAAGCACACCTCAGGGGTGGGAACCATGAGATATATGGCACCAGAAGTACTTCAGGGTTACAAATATGACCACAAATCGGATGTCTATTGTCTCGCTATCATTGGTTCAGAAGTATTGGATTTCGACTTATTTTTGATTGACTTAAATGAGTATAAATTGAATAATTTTTTTGTGGTTATTTTATTATATTTACAACTTTCACTATATTTAATAGTTTGCAGTCCTATTCACAAAGTGATGACATACTGAACGCACCGGTAGTTAAATTGAAGCGAATTCTGGTGTCAATGGCTTCGACCCCAGCGTTCAGTCAACGGCCCGACTGTTCACAAGTACTGCAAGAATACAGCGAATGGTCTGTCGATCGGAATATTCTGAGGAAAAGTGAATTCCGGATAATATTAGATAGACTTATATCACATGAAAACACATTTTTCAATGAATTTGTGTCCAATTATTTGCAATAATAATTGAATTTTATAACATTTCTTGGATTATAATATTTGTGTTGAAATAGTTATTTTGTTATTCTATTATATATATTTTTATCTATTTATAATATTGTTTAATAATATTTTTATTCATCAATTTGGTCATCAATGAGATATTTTAAATTAATTAATATTTTAATAACAATAAACTTTTACTTTTAACTTACAATTTATGACACAATTTGACCGATCATTGTCTTCGGTATTATTTGCGGACAAAATTGCAATTATTGTTTCGGGCAGTCATTGTCTCTACCCTTCATCAGCGCAATCACTGTCTTAACTGACAGTACTTATGGTCTGT